ATTATCTGCAAGTGTGGTTATGTTGTTGCCTACATTTTTGTTGACAATTTTAGAATTTGTATTCATGAAGGAGCACTACTACTCATTCTGTCTGTTGTACTCTGGTGGATTACATACTGCTGGGGTGCTGGGAGCTATTCCACTTGTATTTCAAATATCAGCAGAGTCACTCATGGTGGACAGGTTTTAGTAGAGATTCCAGACTAAGACAGACTAGGAAGAAGAAAGGGGCAGTCCATATGTTAGGGATTAGCCACTGAAAACGTTATGAACAGCAGCAGACAATTGTCTGATATCATGCCAGAAGATGCACCCCTCAGACTGCAAGGCACTCGAAATACAATTGGCTCTATCAAAATAGAGCCCACCTTAATGACATGGGTGGAGCAAAGCTTTGAGGATCTTCATTTGTTGAGGGAGCATGACTCAAAAAAGAAGAAACAGCTGTAATATCCATTAATAATGAGAATGTGGAGCATACAAATTATAAACCTAGGACAACTGGGAGTCACCAAAAATGAAATGGGATGTATAAAGACTGATATCCTAGGCATTAGTGAGCTGAAATAGACTAGTATTGACCATTTTGAATCAAACATTCATATGGTTTACTATGCCGGGAATGATCAATTGAGGAGGAAGGGTATCACATTCATTTTCAGAAAGAACATTTCAAGAACTATCTTGAAATGTAATGCTGTCTGTGATAGAATAATATCCATATGCCTACAAGGAAAACTAATTAAAATTACTATTCAAGTGTACGCAACAACCATTAAAGCTAGTAATAAAGAAACAGAAGAATTCTATCACTAGCCACTCCATGGGAGAAAGATGAGGCTTTCTGTTCCCACAAATATCCTATACAGGGTCACTATGCATCAGAGCCAACTTGGTGGCACTTAACAACAACCAACTTCTTCAGCATGAAACTGATTTTTTTTTAAATGCAATTAAGCTGTACTGATAATTAATGGTGACTGGAATGGGAAAGTGGGAAAAAAAGAGGAGGGATTAGTAGTTGGAAAATATAGTCTTAGTGACAGAAATGATGCTGGATTGCATAAAAGAATTTTGCAAAACCAATGACTAAGATGTTTGTTTGTGTTTTATTGACTATACAAAGGTGAATAGAGAATTTGTGGCTGGCAATTGTTTTCAGTGACTATTTTACACACGTTGCTCCACTGTCTTCTGGCCTCTTAGGTTTCTTGGGAGAAAGCTGTACTAATTGTTATGAAGATCCCTTGGTACAGTGTGCTTTTCTTTCACTGCTATATTAGTTCTCTCCTTGTCTTTGGGTTTCAGGAAGTTTATTAGAATGTGATTCAGGATGGACCTCTTTGCATTTCTTTTAAATGGAGTCTGTGTAGCATTCTGTATTTATTTGCAGGCTTGGCTCCATGTTCAGGTTTGTGAAATTCTCTGAGTATTTCTTGGAACAATCTTTCTATGCCTATATAATCATGGTGCTCTGGAATTCCAATAATTCTAACACTGTTAAGTTGGTTCTAACTCATAGTGAGCCTGTATGGGGTTTCTGAGGAGCAGCTGGTGGGTCTGAACCACCGACCTTTCAGTTAGCAGTACAGTATTTATCCTACAGCACCACACCAGGACACCCAATTAGATTTCTTAATGGAATTCCACATTTCCATTTGGATTTCTTTTGTTTTTTTCTCTTGAGACTCAGTAAGTTCTGTTACCCTGTCTTCTACTTCACTTTATCTTCTGTTTGACTCTATTGAATGCTTTTCTGGAAAGATTTTCTAATTCAGTGATTTTAGTCTTCAGTTCCTGTAATTCTCTTTGTGTGTTTTATTTTCAGCTTCCTTATTGAGTTTCTCATTTTGTTCCTTAATCTGTTTCTGATCTCTGTTAGCCTGTTTTTTGTTAGTTTTGCTTTGCTTTCTTTAAATGCATTTAACACTACTGTCTGAATGTTTTCTATTTTTCCAAATGTCCTTTTCTCCATAGGAGAAAATTTTTCTTCCTCATATTTTTCTGTTGATTGGGTCTTCCATCTTTTGTGATTTTGTTTTTTCATAGTTTTGTTGAATGTGAGATGTTTGATATTCTGAAAGGGAATCATTAATATGTTAGATTTACCTCTACTATCTTCTCCAAATTCCACTAGAGGGTACTCTTGTCCTTAGCTTTTTCCAGCACTGACTCGAGTTCAGTCTGAGGTTTTGTCTTTGTTATTCTTGTCTTTTGAGGCATTTTAAAGTTTACAGTCTCTGGCTTACTCTGACTGGTTCTTTTTAAGGTGGGTGACTTTGATGGTGTGTTACTGTCCCTGTGTCTTCCGAGGTTTGGCTGTGAGCCAATACTGCACACCTGGGGCTGTGTTGCTTCCCTTTCCTTTATAGATGTGGGGTAAGCCTTTCCCTCTGGCACACTGTTCCTGTGTGGGATTTTTCTGTTGACCACCAATGTTGATGAAGTGGTAAGCTTGGATTTCTAGAGATGAGGGGGGAGCACTTTATGTCCTTCCCTCAGAGGAGATCCCATACAGGCTTTCGCACCATGTCAGCTGTGGGCAGGGAGCCAGTTGTTTTCCACTGTGCTGCCTGTCTAATGTGTTTTCCCAGTGAATCTGAATCTTATGGGCACTAGCCTCGGGTCTCACTAAGATCCAACAGCATTCCCCCCAGCCCCTCAGCCTCCTTGTGCCCTTTCCAAGTGTGTGGTTCATGACCTCCCACAACCAATTGGTGCCACCAAAATAAGAGTAGACCTTCCTGAGTTTCCAGAAAAACACAAGTCCACAGCCAGTTTAGCTACCATCTAAAGTTCTTTTGTTCAGCATGTTGTCATCCCGGTTTCAAAATGCTGCTATAAACTGAGTTCTCCAGATGTCAGCAGCTAGAATCTTTCAGCTTCTGCCTCCTCCCCCATTTCTGGATTCACTTTGACTCTCCAACATTCAGCTGCTGTCTGTAGCTCTGTGATCTGTTTGTGTTTATTTTTATTCACTGTTCAGTGGGTTACTAGCAAGTGGATACATGGGAGCAACTACTTACTCCACTATCCTACCCTACTCACCGAAAATGTACTCGGTTTTTATGCAACCTTAATTTTAATTCTTTTTTGGGGGAGTGGGTAGGAATAAGGAGGGCTAGGTAGGGTTAGGACTATGGCTAGTTCTAGGAGTTTGGTTAGTGTTAGGGTTATGGTTAGGACTAGGGTTAGTGTTAGGGGTAAGGGTTGGTCTAGGGCTAGGAGTAAGGTTTGGCCTCATTTTTAGGGTTTCAGTTAGGTTTATTTTTATTTATGTCTTTCTTTCTTGAAATCTACTTGATTTCCTCTTCATTTGGAAGTTCTGTAACTACATTATTCCCTGTTTTACTTTATGGGTTACTTTTTTTTGTTGGTGTTGCAGCTGTATCTCTGGTTCTCCATTTTCAGTTTTGTAGTTCTGTTTCACTTTGAATACTTCCATGTCTGGGTTGAGTCTAGGTGATATTGTCATGTATGTTATAAAAGGCTGCTATGAGTAGAAACTGACTCAAGGCTACTTAACAACAACAATTACTAGTTATGAGTGTATTTTCACATACTTATTAGCTATTTGGGAGTCCTGGTGTACTGCTCTGGGTTAATGCACTGGACTGCAAAGTCAATTCGAACCGCAAGATTGGCAGTTCAAACTCACCAACCGCTTCTTGGAAACTCTATACAGGGTTGCTATGGATCAGAACTGACTCAATGGCACTTAACAACAACAATCACTCATTTGTTCTTTGGCAGTGTCCATTCAAGTCTTTTTTGTATTTTTTAATTGTCTTTGTGTTGTTGAGTTTTAAGAATTCCACTGATGCAGTTTTTCAAGAAAGGGATATACATGTGCAAGTATAATAAGCCAAATACATTACTGAAGGACATATAAAAAATGTCACTCAAACCTGGAAACAGCATTAAAGTTATAGGGGTTAGATGAGAAAGAAGACTTTTTATTTTATACCTTCCTTTATTGTTTGCATTTTAATCATGGCTATATATTACCTAAATTATTATTTTTTTAAAAGCAAATTGTTTGAGAAAAAAATTAAGAAGCAGATACAAACAAGTAGCAAACCTGTATAGGGTTTCCAAGGAGCGGCTAGTGGGTCTGAACTGCTGACCTTGCGGCTCAAACTAACTTTCGGTCCAGTGCATTACCCTGCAGCTCCACACCAGGACTCCATAACAGGGCTAGAGTATGACTAATGATTTCCCCCTAAAATCTCCGTGCCCCTCTTACTCACCTGATGATTTGAAGTCTTTTTTTATATTTTCTATGCTCTTTCCTAAGGCTGGTATTCTCTCAGTAAATACCTACTGAATACCTACTATGTACCAAGCAATGTGCTAAGCACTGGATGTATATTTGTAAAGAACTCAGATCTGGTTCCTCCCCTCAAGGAAATTAAGATTTTAGCATAACAGAAAGAAAATACACTTTCAACAAAGATGCCTAGACCAATCTGTGGCGGCAAAAACAGTCCTGTCAGCAAATGGTGCTGGGATAACTGCACCTTCACATGCAAAAGAAACTAGACCTTTACCTCAGACCACCATATAAAAAAACTAACTCCATAGAGATTATGGACCTAAACAGATCACAGTTTTAAAAGCTAAATCTATAAAATTCCTACAAAGGAAGTCGAGGAGTAAATCCCCATGATCTTGGCTTAGGCAGTGGTATCTTAGACATGATATCTAAAGCACAAGAGACAAAAGGAAAAAGAGGAATTAAACTATGTCAAACATAAAAATATTTGTGCTGCAGATGATATCATACAGAAAATGCAAAGACAACCCACAGAATGAGAGGAAATATTTATATCCAGAATATACAAAACCACAAATAAAACTCTTACAACTGAAAAATAATAATAATAAAAGTATTATCCAATTAAAAAATGGGCAAAGGAAAACACAAATCAATACAACAATGAAATACTTCACAGATACTGTGCCATCTAGTTGGTCAGACTCATTGTGACTGTGTATAGGATTTCCAAGGCTGTACACCTCCGTGTGAGTGGATTGGGGGCTTCTGGTGTGGTGCTGCAGGATAAGCATTAGGCTGTACACCGTAAGGTCAGTGGTTTAAACCCACCAGTTACTCCTTGGAAACCCTGTACAGGGTCTCTAGGAGTTGGAATCAACTAGATGGCACGAAACAACAGCAGCAAACCTCTGTGGACGCATAAAACCTCATCTTTCTCCCATGGAGCAGCCTATACATTCAAACTCTGACCTTGTGACATTAGCAGCCCAACTGGTAACCTACTATGCTACTGGGGTGAGTGATCTCCAAAGTCCTTCTCCTGTAGTTATTCTTTACACTGAAGGTACAAAGGCTCTCTTCTTCAGTAGGGCTATTTATTGGGTAACATTTCTGTTCCACAAACGACACTGAACAGAACATTTGGAATGATATAAAATATGTGATCTAAAAATATACACGGAAAGCTATGAAAGTCCGAACCTGATGGGACTGCCTTGTTTTTCTGGGTCTCAAAAAATTCCTGCCTTTTACAGGTTGCTATCTAGCCAGCTTTCTATTACTCTCTATTAATGGAAACCACTTGAATTTTCATTCTCTGACGGGCTTCTGCCTTACACAGGTTCTGAATTTTACAGATTTTATTGTATATATACTCTATAAGGAATCTAACTATTACTAAGAAATTAATTTTCATTAATTATATGTTACATACATACCATGCATCTTTAATTCCATTTTCTTTTTCATAAAAGCAATGTCCAAAATAAAAACGTAACTAATATACTTATTTATAACAAACATATCTGTGAAGGGAAATGAGGTTTATGGACTAAGCTTCAGTAAACTTTACTAAATTTGCCACAATAATATGAATATATTTATACACCCACCTGTCACTTTATCAACATGGTTAGGGTCCAAAGACCAGGTCATTATGTGAAAATTAGCATTATGCACAAATGGAGGATGACTACATCAGACCGTAACATAGAGGATGACTACTTCACTACACACCTTCCAGATTCTGTCATTACAGTAACTGCCAAGCCACTGAGAATTGTGCCTGGCCAAGCTGACGCATAACCTTAACCAGCACGGTCAGTGTTCATTACTGCTAGCCGTAAGTTGTTAAGGGGAAAATAGACAGTCGACTGTTTACTATTGTTGTGAACATGAAATGTCAGATAATGAGGTAGTCAGTAAGTGAGTAAGAGATATATTTAGTTTTTAGATACTGCAGTATTTAGAAAAAATAAAAAAGAACCTAAAACATCGAGTGCTATATTCTAAAGGCATTTTATTTATAAGGAGAAAAGAAAATGGTTGTCCAAGACTTTGAACATTCATCATTTGAAAAGCAATGTATTTTTCACTGAATTGGCTAGAAATTTTACCAAAGAACATTGGCTAGCCTTAATTTCTCATGTGAAGAAGATAAGAAAACTGAGGCACAGAGAGGCCAAACACCTTACTAGGTTCCACAATAATACAGAGGGGTAAGACCATTTAACAATTTTAACCTTTAAATTCCAACTACATGTAAAGTGGAAAAATGAGGGTTTTTTTTAATGAATTATTTAGATCTTGGTTAAAAACATATTTCTTTTTCTATAATTACAACTGCTTGAAAACAGTAAAGTCTCCCAAGTGTGGATTTAAAAAAAAAAAAAAATCCAATTACTATCACTGGGCACTTTTTGCTATTTGTCTCTTACTCTCTTAGATTAGCTCCAGTTAGTTTTGGTAAGAAACTAAGAGTTAGAAGGTACAACTTTTTTTTCCATTCGCAGTGCAACAATAATAAACATTGTCATTTAGTGGGCTTACTTAGCTTACCTATAGTATATTTTCTTCATTGCAAATGGCAAACAGCTGAAACACTGTTTGTAGATCTTGTTCTCATCAATTTCCAGCTCCAATCCACATTTTGCACAGCCGGAATATATAATGTTGGGAAGAGAATCAAAAATATTCTTCAAAGTACTCTGAGCATTTAGTGTTATCTGCCTCTTCTGGGCTGCTCTAACAGGAAACACCAGCTCTAAAATCTGGGCTTTGATTAGAACCATTCCTATGAAAGGTAAACAAAAATAAATACGTATTTTAGGACCAAAATTGTCATATTAATGTATGTTGTTGTTGTTAAATGCCTTTGAGGCAGTTCTGACCCACAGTGACCTTGTATATGGTTTCTCAGGAGTAGCTGGTGAGCTTGAACCATCAACCTTGCTAACTACAGAGTTGATTTGCAGTCACTTTACAGTAAAGTACACACTCTGGGCTTTGTTCTTGGGCTGCTCTTCTGTATTCTTTTCCTAGATGATCTCACCCATACTTATGACATAATGGCTTCAGTGTTTACCCTAGAAAGGAAAGGTGACCTGCCTGCAATTGAGAGTGAAGATTCATTTGGCTATTTTGAATGAACAGATGGATGTCTTCTTTCTCCCTACTGGCTGGTAAGTTTAATAAGTCTTTTAGGAGAAATTGCTTTAAACACATGAAACAACTAATATGCTGTCTCTCCTATCCCTATCTTCTGTCTTGATTTGCCACCATCAAAAGCCAAATAGGTGAATTGTCCCACTATTCTTTACTTTGAAAAGACATACAACTAGTTAATTCTCTTTTTAATTAAGTTGTTTTTTTTGTTTTCCAATTTCCTGCCCATCATCATCATCCTGGCCATCTGTAAGCTATGGAACAATTTTTAAAAATTAAAAATAGATATTTTACATTGATTTTAAGAGGCTTTTCTTATCTAATAACCATGGGTTAAGCATCGGGCTGCTAACTGCAAAATTGGTGGTTCAAACCCCACGAGCTTTTCCTGAGGAGAAAGCTGAGGCTGTCCGCTCCTGTCAAGTCACAGAAACCCTGGGGAGCAGTTCTGCTCTCCTCTCTGGAGTCCCTCTGAGTCAGACTGGACTGCACAGCACTAGCTGAGTTTCGATAGGAACCTCAAAACTCCTGATCCCAGTTTTATTCTGTCTTGGCCCCTTCAGAGGCCAGTCAATAATAAAACCATTACTTAGTGATTTAATAAAAGACTCTAGGCTCACTTAATTTTAAATTTCAGAAGGTCCCATGGCTGTAGGTGGGTGAAGGGACAAATGCTTAGCTGCCAGGCCAGCGACCACCAAGTAATCAGGTATCAGTTGATCTCAGGTAAGATTAGCCAATAGTTCAACTTTCTCTCTCCTCCTCCCTTTATAAACCTCATTGTAATTAGCCAACTTGGAGCTCCCTTTTTTCCCTCTTAAATTGGAATGGTCTTCTTGTACGCAATTTAGCAAAAATTATTTTCCACTAGAATTGTACAGATTTATCTAGTTATTTTCACTATTTTACTCTCCTGGTGTGGTGCTCGCTGTAGGGTAAGCACTGGACTGCTAACCACAAGGTTGGTGGTTGAACTACACAGGGTAGCTATGAGTCGGAAGTGACTTGATGGCACTTAACAACAATTTTAAAGCTAAAATACCTTTGTG